ATGTTATTTATTTGGTACATTTTTAGGGGAAGCCTGGCTTCCCTTTGGCATCCATGAATACATTCCACTGATAGGCTCAAAAAATATATCAACAACAACTTTATATCGCTGGATTTGAGCTTGCAACCTTTGGAATCAGAGGCAGATGCTTACGCCCATCCACCATCCCCAACACCGAATCCTACTTGAAGGTAACAGCGCTCACTATTGCCCCTGGTGGTTGGTTTCCACATCTTCTCCCGACGTCCTCAGACATGGATGGACTTCGAATACTGACTTGTCTCATGGGTGACCTGACTGTCTAAAATATGTTTGAAGATAATGTGTCTTCAGTATAATTTTAAATGTTGAGACAAGAAGAAGAGGAGGGGGCGTGTCGCGAAGAAATTGGGCATCTCTCTCCAGAATGCGCTCAGCTCGTCACTAGACTCTACCCACACACTCACACGTCCTACATACACAAAACACACACACGCATGCATATTGATGCCACACACACACACACATACTTTCACAGTTCACATACGCTGCTGCTATTTATGCTGAGTGCCTAGTCAATTTTACCCCTAGCCACATGTACACACTGTATTACCTCAACTACCTTTGCAGTGGCTACCCGTCATTCAGGGCAGGTATTTCAGTCTACCTCAGTACTTTCTGTGGTGGAGGGGCAGTGTAGGCGTTGGTAATCTTCTTTAGTTGCGCCGTGATTGGCTCAGTGTTCTGTCACTCATGGGGACACTACGTCACTGCAGAATCTAAAGGGAGAGGTAGGCAGTTCAAGCCCCCTTGGTGCTGCCAAAGATTTACATTAGAAGTGCCCATCCAAGAAGGCTCAAGGTCAATGGCCATAGACAAAAGGAAGTCAAATCACGTTATATCTACCGTAACTTTGATTGAACTGATCATGTTACTTTCAAAATCTTAGCTTGCAAGCTAGACAAGCAGTCATCATCATGAATCACGTCGACAATCTACTGGCAAATCCTTTTCAATCCTTGTCATATGAAGAGAAATTATAGATAAAAAGGTGTCGGTGCTCATCGGCCATAAACATTACACAAGTCAGAAATCGCAAATTCAACAATGAGTGGTTTGGAAGGAATCAGTGCTTCGCCTGCCTGCTATTCAGTGAGGGTGTGTGGTCCAAGTCTGGGTTTAAGGATTTAAAACATCTGTCTGAAATGGTCTCTTTTCCAAGCTTAAAGGGATAAACATTCACTCGCAACACCATGGGCCAGAAAAGGTTGAATACATTGGCCATGCTTTCAATCCAGCATGATTTCTGCCACATTCAAAACAACTGGAAACTCAGAACTGGGAAATCTCAGACTTCAGTTCATGACAACTGGGAACTCGGAAAAAAAAAACTAGCTCCGACTGGGAAAATACGTTTTGAATGGTCATCCAACTCAGAATTCCAAACCAGGAGCTGAGGCCTCTTTCGAGAGCTCAGACCTGAAGATCACTGACGTCATGATTCAACCTTGTTTTTTTTCCCCGAGTACCCGGTTGTCTTGAAATCACCTTTGATGACAAAATGTGCCCACAACAAGGATCACCGCGCTACCTTCCTGTTCAAGTGAGCACAGCTCAACAACGGTGAGTCGAAAAATGTATTCTATGCTGCTGCATAAATTAGCTCATGTGCTTTTCTTCACGAGGAGGGTATACTATATAATGTTGTTGGGTCTGTAACCATGTTTGCCAGTGACAGTCTCTTCCCATTCATATTCATATATATATATATATATATATATAAGTTCATTAATATTCCCATGTAATTCCAGTTGATATTGCGAGGGTTGTTTTTTGCTGTCACCATTATAGTGCAATTAATGTATTGTTTAGTGTTATGTAGTGGCTTTTCTGGCATGCATCATCTAAAAAAAAATGTTGAGTTTGGCCAACCAAGATTTACATGCTAAAATCGCAACTGATAAATTGTTAGCTTACCCAAACTTGAAACTCACAAACTTGAAATTCACGCGCCTAGGAATAGACAAATCGTGAACAGAGCGCACATTTCTTTGTACTGCATAATTACAATGGGTGTGTGTGTGAGAGAGAGAGAGATAAGGAGAGGGGTGTTGTAACTAAGATTGTGCCAAATGATCAGCTAAGCGATCCATCGCAGAGATAATCGCTCACCTCGATCCAGCACCAACGGGTGGAAAGCACCACTCGCTGGGCCGCGACAAGCACTGTGTTGCTTGCTAGACTAGTTGGCTGGTACACCTAAGTGTTTGACATGGGAAGAAGCAGGCCTTTGAGCCGAGGGAGAGCGAATGCCATGTTCCTTATTTGATATTGTTCCCATTCCCTTTTCGCCAAGTTTAGAATGGAAAACTAATAGAAAATAGAAGTGGAGAATTGCGAGCACTGCTCCAGATCACTTGATATCCACCGCAAGTGGGACAGAAGAGAGAAGGGAGAGCGAGAGAGAGGGTAGAGGCACAGAGAGAGAGAGACCCAATTTAACTCAAACTAAACTGTCTATCATACAGCAGAGCGTGTCCGACTCCAACCCCCCACAACTGAATAGATAAGAGCATATCATGAGCTGAGCTCTCCATGAAGAGTGGGTTCGATATATAAATATCCCATGTTTTTTTCCCTCCCCAATCCCATTATAATTTATATCAATAATGCAACAGAAAAATAGTTTGTTATTGCAACAACACAAATTCTTAGTTTTACCATCTCACCAGCAATATCTCTAAAATACAACTGGTCTCCTGAACCAAAGAGTAAAATGTAGCAAGCTAGCAGCAACATTCCATGCTAATCAGAACAAGCTAGCAGCAACATTCCATGCTAATCAGAACAAGCTAGCAGCAACATTCCATGCTAATCAGAACAAGCTAGCAGCAACATTCCATGCTAATCAGAACAAGCTAGCAGCAACATTCCATGCTAATCAGAACAAGCTAGCAGCAACATTCTATGCTAATCAGAACAAGCTAGCAGCAACATTCCATGCTAATCAGAACAAGCTAGCAACCTCTTAGCTACTCATGTTGAATTAATAATAGAGCTAGCTAGCTAGGTGTCAATTTGAATGACTGTTTAAATGCTGCTCAAGAGGCAGTAATGTTACTTTGGGTGAAGAAAACCATAGGATATAAGAGATAAGTCCATGGCTGCCCCCAGGGCAGTAAATCATTTTTTATATTACCTTTTGTGCTTGAAGTCTGCCCTTAGGGTACCAAGTGATCTTGACCCAAACTAACATTACTGCCCCCTGGGGAAGCATTTAAACAGTGCATTCAAATGGCTGCCCCAAGGGCAGTTAACTTTTTTGTATTATTACATTTTGTGCTTGAAGTCTGGCCTCATAACCTACAGTGATCTTGACCCAAACTACAATTTCTGCACCCAGGGCAGCATAAACAGTCTGTCTAAATGTTTTATAAAACAAATGTCAAATGACCTACTGGCAGTTTTTCTATTTCTATTTTATAATTCAACATTAGTAGGCGATAGCTCTCTGCTCAGCTAAGTTACATTTAGCTTAGCATTTTCTACTCCCAGAGAAGCATAACGGTCTATTATTAATTCAACATGAGTAGCTAAGAGGTTGCTAGCTTGTTCTGATTAGCTTAGCATGTTGCTGCTAGCTTGTTCTGATTAGCTTAGCATGTTGCTGCTAGCTTGTTCTGATTAGCTTAGCATGTTGCTGCTAGCTTGTTCTGATTAGCTTAGCATGTTGCTGCTAGCTTGCTACATTTTACTCTTTGGTTCAGGAGACCAGTTGTATTTGAGATATTGTTACATTTGTCTGACTACTGTAACACAATGATTTCAAAACATTACAAGTTGTAACTCAAAGTTTCATTTACAACATTCTCAGTTCAAATCTCCACCATGTTTTCAAAAGTTGTGTATCTGTTAAACTCCGCCTAGTGACCTTTTAGAAACCAATCAGATCCTTTCTACCCTTAGAACAAAGTTCACTACACTTTTAAGTTGATCTGCCTGACACAACTGCCCATGTGACCTAATGGTTAAGGTGTATGACTTCGACTCAGAAGATTGAGGGTTCAAGTTAATTTGCGGTTTAACTTTACTTACTTGCACAGGTTCCCAAATGGCTTACAAAAACATGTCCATTGTTGCCAAGATACAGTAGGATATTATCATGTAGTCCCTCCAAAATGGATTTGGTGTCTGATTCCAGATCAGAAGATTGAAGGTTTCAGTCCCTTCGTGGTCATTTAAATCTAGTCAAAATATTATTCTTATCGCAATAACCCACTCAGTGATTGTCAGACAACTCAAACCAACTATAAATTATTCTACAAATGTCTGGCCTACTTTTACAACCTTTGATTTCCACCCAAAACTTTGTGTGAATTTATTAAAATTACTTAAATCTAGTGTAAATATGTTATGTTGTTCTTATCGCAATAACCTGGGCTGAGTTTCCCAAATTCAACTGTTTTTTACGATACATTGTTGCAATACTAAAGTGCAATATTTGTAACAAATGTTATCAAATGACACCACTGTTTCATTTAGCTTATGAAAATATCTAGAAATGGTTCCCAATAACAAAAAAAACTCATCAGGATTGACAGAGAGAGTTCAAATATTGTTCATATTTACACTGAACAAAAATGAGGAGTATTTCTGTCTGTAATAAAGCCCTTTTGTGGGGAAAAACTCATTCTGATTGGCTTGGCCTGGCTCCCCAGTGGGTGGGCCTATGCCCTCCAAGGCCCACCCATGGCTCCGCCCCTGCCCAGTCATGTGGAATCCGTAGATTAGGGCCTAATTTATTTATTTCAATTGACTGATTTCCTTATATGAGCTGTAACTCAATAAAATCTTTGAAATTGTTGCATGTTGCATTCTATATTTTTGTTCAGTATACTTTATTAATAATTTAAAACATATCTAAATGTTTGTATAAGCCAGGCCTCTTGCCCAGACCCTCTCACCTCCTCTTGGGTTTAGCTGTGTGTGTGGCCCCGGTGGGATCGTTGGAGTGTGTGAGGTCAGGGTGCGTGTGAGGTGTGTGTAGGGTTCCCCCCGGTGGTAAGGGCTGTGTGTTGCAGGCTGAGCTCCAGCAGGTCATACACCAGGCTGCTCTCCTTCAGCAGTCTCCCCAGCAGCAGCTCTCCTCTGGCCCTCACAGTAGACCGCACTAGGTCTGCCACCTCCTGGAGAAACAATACAACTACATACTTACAGTACACAGTGGAGGTGGCGGTGGTGGTCAATTCAATTTAAATTCAGTCAATTCAGGAAGTAAACTGAAACTCTAATTTCTAATTCCAATTTTATCTAATAGGAGGCATTGAGGAAAATTGGAATTTCAGTTTACTTTCTGAATTGACTGCATTAAAAAATAATTTACACATTTACATTTAGCAGACGCTCTTATCCAGAGCGACTTACAGTTAGTGCATACATTATTATTTTTCATACCCCCTGTGGGAATCGAACCCACAACCCTGGTGTTGCAAACGCCATGCTCTACCAACTGAGCTACATCCCTGCCGGCCATTCCCTCCCCTACCCTGGACGACGCTGGGCCAATTGCGCGCCGCCCCATGGGTCTCCCGGTCGCGGCCGGCTACGACAGAGCCTGGATTCGAACCAGGATCTCTAGTGGCACAGCTAGCACTGCGATGCAGTGCCTCAGACCACTGCGCCACTCGGGAGACACCCCCAACCCTGGGTGGTGATGGTGTGTCTACCTCTCTGTCCAGTCTGACCTCTGACCCCTGTGGCCCCTCCTCCTCTCTGAGCCTCCGGAGTTCCTCCCTCTTCTGTTGCTCGGCAATCTGGAGCCGGGCACACACACGCTGGCGCTCCCACACACACTCATCATCGCCCTGAGAGAAAGCACACACACATCATCGCCCTGAGAGAAAGCACACACACATCATCGCCCTGAGAGAAAGCACACACACATCATCGCCCTGAGAGAAAGCACACACTCATCATCGCCCTGAGAGAAAGCACACACACATCATCGCCCTGAGAGAAAGCACACACACATCATCGCCCTGAGAGAAAGCACACACACATCATCGCCCTGAGAGAAAGCACACACACACATCATCGCCCTGAGAGAGAATGGAAACGCGTACATACACACGCACACACACATACACACTTTCTATATCACCTGTGCCAGGGGGAGGGGTGTAGGGGCCACATGCACCTCCAGGTGTTTCTGGTTGATTGACAGGTGACTGGCCCCGCCCACCACAGCTTGTAGCAGCCGTTGCCTAAATGTCAGACAGGGACAGAACTCTTGTGTTACTTACCATTACATCAACACACACACACACACGCACACACACACACACACACGCACACACACACAAGCACACACACTTACCTAGTGACACAAGTGTCAGACAGGAAGTGGAAGACTGCGTTGTGGTGGGCAGGAGGTAGGTGGGGCAAACACTCTGTCAGCCAATCTGAAACTAGGGATAGCACTCTGGGCGGGTCCAGATCTGGGGGAGATGAATGGAGCTTCACACTCAATATTAAATGATTACATTATTTTATATTATACAAATGGAGCCGCACAGTCAATATTAATTATTAATATATATGTATAATAAAGATAACAGATAACTACTGACCAGCTAGCTGAGGGAACAGGTCTCTAGTCATCCCGGCCACTGCTCTCACAGCACTCCAAGCCAGGCCACGGTCGGCGGCGAACATGGCACAGTCATAAACAAACTGCTGATGGGCGTTCTGCCGCGCCGCGTCCCCAGAGAACTCTGGCCACGAGAAGTGACCGCTTAGCCGCCGCACATCCTCCTCTCTCTGACACACACAGATGAATAGTGAACAGAGTTCTGGAAACACATCTATATGAAGTCTGCATTTTACAGAAACTCACACACACTAAAGATATACTATGGACTAGTTGGATAATTGTTTACGTCACATCTTGGCTTGTATGATTCATAAACATATAATAGAATATTATCTCAGGAAACCAAACTATATAATAATAATAATAATATGCCATTTAGCAGACGCTTTTACGTATGGGTGGTACCGGGGATCGAACCCACTACCCTGGCGTTACAAGCGCCATGCTCTACCAATTGAGCCGCAATACAGCTATGTTTTAGTTGATGGGTGTGGGGAGTTGTGCCCTGACTGGCCAATGACAATGTCATTTCTGGGTAATATTTCTGGCCAATTAAGGAAACATATTTTGTCTCAAAGAGCACCCACATATACAAAAGTTATGTAGGTCTATAGCTTCTATAAAAAGGAGTCTTCCCAAGAAAAGAAGCACACATTTGGAGCTGGACAAATAAAGCACAGTATTAGGGGTTCACAGCAAATCTATGAAACCTATTGTTATTCTCTGAATGAACTCAAGCATAGATTGCTAACTAACAGAAACTGGAGGCCATGAGTAACTTGATCAAAAAGAATGGTACCGATTGGCCTATAGGTGGCACTGTTATACGTAATCTCACTTAAACCCTCATATCCGTCACCCCGTTTTGACCTAAAGACTTGAAACTTCAGGATGAAAAACCTCTTCTCATGCACCATAAGAAGTAACACCAAATTCGGTATGTAAGCCCATGGTACATCTCTCAACTTATTTGCAGAAAAGCTAAGGGATTGGTTAAGAGATGGCTGAGTTATTGATAAATCAGGAAATCAGATTTTACGTGTCCATTTAAATATTTTTGTAAATCCTCTCCACAAATGGCCTATCAATTTGAAAACTTTAGGTTAATCAAATACATTACCATGATATGAACCATGTTAAATTTGGCATTGATATCTTTAAAAAAATAAGTAAACTATTAACAATTAACTTCTTTGACTATGTAACGCTAATGCTTAAAATAATCATTTTCTTCTCATGGACTATAAAAGTCAGATTCACACCAAATTCGATATTTGGACTCCTCACAATAAGAGTTTGAGAATAGAACGTTGATGCATTCAAACATGGCCGCACTATACATTTACATTACATTTTAGTCATTTAGCAGACGCTCTTATCCAGAGCGACTTACAGGAGCAATTAGGGTTAAGTGCCTTGCTCAAGGGCACATCGGCAGATTTTTCACCTAGTCGGCTCGGGGATTAGAACCAGCGACCTTTCGGTTACTGGCACAATGCTCTTAACCACTAAGCTACCTGCCGCCAGATGTATACGCTAATACGCTAAAAAAATACTTCCAAAATCTTATTCTCATGAACCATTGGACCAAATGACACCAACGTAGGCCCATGGTACATGTCTTAACATAGTTTGAGAAAAAGCTAAAGGATTGGATCAAAAGATGGCTGAGTTTTTGACAAATCAAAAATCATAATGTTATGTGTCAATTTAAACCACTGTAAATCCACTCCACAGTGGCCTATCAACTTGAAACTTGTCATCACTAAGATGAACCATACTGAATTTGGTATTAATATATATATATTTTTTAAAGGAAACCATTCACAACTCATTCTTTGCATATGAAACGCTAATGCTCAAAATCAATCATCTTCTCCTCATGAACCATATGTCCAATTCACTCCATATTTTGTATTTACACTCATTACATCAGTCTTTAATGGTTTTGAGAGAAAAAAATTGTTGCCTCATTCAAACATGTACCTATAGACGCACGTTAGCACATATGCTAATGCTAAAAATACTTTACACATTTTCTCCTCGTGAACCATGAGTCAGAGTGACTCCAGATTTGGTATACTGTATAGACTCAATGAATTAGCCTCTAATGAATTTGAGAATGATTACTCGCTGCATTACACCACTATCATGTCATACCAGGGCTATTAGAACAAAACCAATGGACACGGGGCCATGAAATTTGGAATGTAAACCTTATCATTAGAAGCTGTGTGAATATAAAGTCACTGCAAACTTAGATGGCTGCAGCAGACCAGTGACACCATAGGAAACTACAGCAATAACTATTGATCAAGTGGACTTTATCTCATGCAAATGACTGTTAGATTTAAATTATGCAGACGAACAATGTGAAATATGGTGATTAGTAGATCTGTATAATCACATATTGTTGCCCTATTATGTGATGTGAATGTAGTGAAAAGTGGATATTATTTTACCTATTACAGCTGTGAGACTGTATTGAAATATTTTGGAACGCTAATGTGGAGTGTACCAAGTGAGATTTTAATTATTTACACAAACAGATTTCGACAAAGTCCCAGAATTCAAAGATGACTGCAATATACCATTAGCCTACACCAACGCTGAAAATATTCAACAAATCTTAACATAAACCACTTGTCAAATTGACCCCAGAATTGGTATATGAACTCAATACATTAAGTAATAACTTTAAGAACAGTTAAATGCTGCATTCAAAGATAACCAACCTACAGCACTAGACTAAACGTCACTTGCGTCATCCTTGTGGTATTGATTGATAAACATGATAATGCTTTCACTGACTGCACATAAAGGAAGAAAGTTCCTAGTCTACATGATACGGAGCTTGCTTTGTTATCCAACTGATCTTGTATCATTTTTTTTTGTCATCCTGTGAACCCTGTTCATTGCTGCTCGCAGCTATATTTATATGTATGTATAAATATTGTTGTTGTTATTATTATTATGATTTACAAAAATAATAATAATAATAATAATATGATAACATGGTTTTAGGCACACACCGCGCGCAGAACCACGAGCCCTTGCTGCATGCGTCGTTGTGTGGGCAGGGAGCGGGCATCTCTACTGAAGGTAAGATAGACAAAGAGATAAAATAGACAGCGGATATTATCCTGGTACTTTGTGGCGGAAATTCTAACGCACTGGATTAGCTACGATGTGTGTGTTGTTTTCAGAACCACCCCGCCAGTCTTATAAAATATGTTCGATTCGGCTGCTAGAGAACTTGTTGCTTTAACAGGAGGCTACTTACTGCGTGTGTGTGTGTACATCGCAAATATCTCTAAAATGTATCTGGCCATCCATCCTTTCTCAGCCTCCCTCCACACCTGTCAATCCTCTCCCCTCCCCTCGAAGATCTCGTGTCCTGTAGCCTAGATACGTGAATATATCGACAGGCTATCAATCGGCGCTTACCGCCTGCATACCGACTAGCCTACCCTTAATGTCAAGTTGTAACGAAGTTAGCTAGCTAACGTTACATCATACAATAGACTACATCATGAATAGCCTGCACGTTGGATAGCGTTGGCTACACTTGTTTTAGTGACGCTCCAGTAATCCGCACAAATCACGTATTGTTTATCGTCGTATTCTCTAAACCTGGAGTTGCATTAATGAATGTCGTTTTGGTGTTTTTATTTTACCTGAAGTTTGGCAATCTCCGCCATCTCTGTGTCTGTCAGGGTGGCCATTGCAGCGTTGTCAGGGGGGCGTTGTGGTTGCTATGGGAACCACGTCGCAGGTTTTGGCGTAGGCTGATGACATCGGCTGACTGGAATTTCCCTCCATTTCAGTATTCTGATGTCTATTCCCAAGAGTTTCTGCTAGTGTCTATTTCTAGCAGTTTGCTTGCTGTACCTGAGTTAACCCGAAACCTAATTTGAATGTCTTGTCTGCTGCTTAGTTGAGTTGACAACCTGCAGTAGGCGTGTGTGTGTGTGTGTGTTTGTATGTGTGCCTGTGTCTGTGTGTATCTGTGTCTGTTTGTCTACCTGCCTGCCTGTGTGTGTGTAAGGTACACTAGGGGTTAATTCCCCGTGAACACAGATGGCTCAGGCATTCTAATCCTCTTTCTTATGAATCCCTCCTCTCCTGGTGTCCTGGGGATCATAATTAGATAAATGGATTGAGCAGCAGCGCGAGAACCAGAAACAATGCACCTAATATTATTTAAGGGCCATTAATGGAGAGAGATAACGGCTGCAAGCGGTGCAGACCGGGTCATGGGCTACCACTACAACTACATCCTCATGCACTGATAGCTAGAAGATGCAGAACTGGAGTTAACCGTTCCGTATCTGAACTGGAGTTAACCGTTCCGTATCTGAACTGGAGTTAACCGTTCCGTATCTGAACTGGAGTTAACCGTTCCGTATCTGAACTGGAGTTAACCGTTCCGTATCTGAACTGGAGTTAACCGCTCCGTTCCGTATCTGAACTGGAGTTAACCGTTCCGTTCCGTATCTAAACTGGAGTTAACCGTTCCGTTCCGTATCTGAACTGGAGTTAACCGTTCCGTTCCGTATCTGAACTGGAGTTAACCGTTCCGTTCCGTATCTGAACTGGAGTTAACCGTTCCGTATCTGAACTGGAGTTAACCGTTCCGTATCTGAACTGGAGTTAACCGTTCTGTATCTGAACTGGAGTTAACCGTTCCGTATCTGAACTGGAGTTAACCGTTCCGTATCTGAACTGGAGTTAACCGTTCCGTATCTGAACTGGAGTTAACCGTTCCGTATCTGAACTGGAGTTAACCGTTCCGTATCTGAACTGGAGTTAACCGTTCCGTATCTGAACTGGAGTTTACTGTTCAGTATCTGTGGATTACATCTGAAATGCTGCTTCTAGCCGTGGATTATAAAGCAGAGAACAGACTGGAGGAGAATGTGGGATCTAGACCTGTAGGAGACTGGACACTTGGTTGGTTAAATTCCTGAGTCCTGCAGTGAGGAGTTGACTGGCTGAATCAGCTGTTTCTGGGAACTGACCTGAGGAGTTGACTGGCTGAATCAGCTGTTTCTGGGAACTGACCTGAGGAGTTGACTGGCTGAATCATATGTTTCTGGTAACTGACCTGAGGAGTTGACTGGCTGAATCAGCTGTTTCTGGGAACTGACCTGAGGAGTTGACTGGCTGAATCATCTGTTTCTGGTAACTGACCTGAGGAGTTGACTGGCTGAATCATATGTTTCTGGTAACTGACCTGAGGAGTTGACTGTCTGAATCATCTGTTTCTGGTAACTGACCTGAGGAGTTGACTGACTGAATCATCTGTTACTGGTAACTGACCTGAGGAGTTGACTGGCTGAATCATATGTTTCTGGTAACTGACCTGAGGAGTTGACTGGCTGAATAATCTGTTTCTGGTAACTGACCTGAGGAGTTGACTGTCTGAATCATCTGTTTCTGGTAACTGACCTGAGGAGTTGACTGACTGAATCATCTGTTACTGGTAACTGACCTGAGGAGTTGACTGGCTGAATCATATGTTTCTGGTAACTGACCTGAGGAGTTGACTGGCTGAATCATCTGTTACTGGTAACTGACCTGAGGAGTTGACTGGCTGAATCATCTGTTTCTGGTAACTGACCTGAGGAGTTGACTGGCTGAATCATCTGTTACTGGTAACTGACCTGAGGAGTTGACTGGCTGAATCAGCTGTTTCTGGTAACTGACCTGAGGAGTTGACTGGCTGAATCAGCTGTTTCTGGTAACTGACCTGAGGAGTTGACTGGCTGAATCATCTGTTACTGGTAACTGTGACCTGAGGAGGTGCTGGTAGAGAAGAAGCTGATGGGTTCTTTAGGGTAAGCACAGGAGAATAACTGCAGTGTGTGTGTGTGTGTGTGTGTGTGTGTGTGTGTGTGTGTGTGTGGTGAGGTGGATTAAGATGTTTGTTCAGGTGAGTCACAGCTGCTTAGGAAGGGATGAGGGTCAGAGAGGGAGGAGGGAGGGAGGACAGGAGAGGAGGAGGGAGGAGAGGAGATGTGAGGGGGAGGGAGGGAGGAGTGGAGGAGAAGTCAGAAAGGAGGGGTGAAGGGGAGAAATGGTGTTAGGAGAGGAGGAATAGATACACCCAAACACTCCAGTGGAGCAGGTGTCTCAAAATTGCCAAGGCGGATCTGAAAAACACACACAGGAGAGGAGAGGTTTGGGTGTTGTTGTCAAACCAGTCAGTCTCTTGGCTCTGTCGTTGCTAGTTATTCTGCATACAGTCTTCAACTTCCACCTCCAGCTAACAACACTTATGTATCTGGCAATTACCAGACGACATGACAGAGAGAGAGAAGCAGACAGGAGAGAGAGGCAGACAGATATACAGACAGGAGAGACAGAGAGAGAGAGAGAGAGAGAGAGAGAGACAGAGAGAGAGAGAGAGTCAGAGAGAGAGAGAGAGAGAGAGCGACAGATAGAAAGAGACAGAGACAGACAGGAGAGAGAGAGACAGAGAGAGAGCGAGAGAGACAGGAGAGAGAGAGAGTCAGAGAGAGAGAGAGAGAGAGAGACAGACAGAGAGGAGAGACAGAGAAGAGAAGAGAGAAGAGTCATAGAGAGAGAGAGATAGAGAGAGAGAGAGAGACGACCGGAGAGAAGAGAGAGAGAGATAGAACAGACAGAGACGACAGGAAGAGAGATAACAGATAGAGGAGAGAGAGACAGACAGAGACAGACAAGGAGGAGAGAGACAGAGAGAGAGGAGAGCCAGACGGATAGAAGAGAGACCCAGAACAAGGAAGAGAGAGAGTGACAGACAGAGAGAGAGAGAGAAGAGAGCGAGAGAGGACAAAGCGAAGAGAGATAGACGAGGAGAGACCAGACGACAGACAAGAGACAGCAGACATACAAGACAGACAGACAGACAGAGACACAGAGAGAGAGAGAGAGAGAGACAGAGAGACAGACAGACAGACAGACAGACAGACAGACAGAGAGAGAGAGAGAGAGAGAGAGAGAGAGAGAGAGAGAGAGAGAGAGAGAGGGGGAGAGAGTGTTCCTCTGGTGTCCACAGACAGTCTCACCTCCTGGTCTTCTGATGTCTAACACTGTCTCTGACTCAAATGCTCTGTTTGGTGAGATGTAATTCTATAATCGTGCTGTGAAGGGGACTGTGCCTAAGTCTGAAGGACTGTGCCAAAGTTTCTCAGAAGCTAATCCCTAACCTGTATTCAAAATATAGCCTTTCAGCTGGCGGCCACTGTGAACTGATTCCTCTCCTCTGCTCTGACACAGGGGTGGCCAAGCCTCCTGGAGATCTACTGGGTTTGTATGTTTTTGTTCCATACCCAATTCAACTAATCACGGTCCTCATTCAGGTGTGTTAGATAAAATAAATAAATAATAACTGAATGGTAGCGCTCCATGAGGGAGGGTTTACCATCCCTATCCTGACCCCTGACCCCTGACCCTTTAACCTCAAACCCCTACCATGACGCGTGTGTAAAAAGTAATTATAGTAGGTTAGAAAAGTGAGCGTTGTAATTTGTTGCTTTACTGATGAGCTCAGTGATCCCACAGATTACTGATTACACTGGTCTCACTGATTACACTGGTCTCACCGATTACACTGGTCTCACTGATTACACTGGTCTCACTGATTACACTGGTCTCACTGATTACACTGGTCTCACTGATTACACTGGTCTCACTGATTACACTGGTCTCACTGATTAGAGTGGTCTCACTGATTAGAGTGGTCTCACTGATTACACTGGTCTCACTGATTACACTGGTCTCACTGATTACACTGGTCTCACTGATTAGAGTGGTCTCACTGATCACAGTGGCTGGATTTCAACTGTGGCTGACGGACCTTATAAAAGCAAACGTGTGACGCATTCATCTGGTTTTAGCGTAACCACATGTTGTAGAAGGGCCTAAGTTATAGAGAAAATAGTTAGTTAGAAAAATGTATTCAAGTTTCACTCCACAATGCTACTATAGTTGACAATGCATAATACAGATTTTAAAAACCACATTGTGGACCACTCAAATAGAGGTTTGAGACTCTAAAAGCAGTCATGGTAAAACATGGTACAGTAAGTTCTAGTCTCAGTAGGATGTCCATGTGCTCTGGCTCCTGTGATCTATTTCCTCCGTCTGCTGCATCCCCAGGAGCTAGTCAGTCAACTCTCTAACTAACTAACCTGTTCTGTATGGAACTGTGTGTATCATTCCCTCTATCCCCAGCCCTACCTCCTCCATCACCCCGCCAGATCTCAGCTGATTAAGGAGGCTTTGCTTTCTATCCTCCACATGCCCCCCCCCCCCTCCAGGTCTGATTAGCTAGCGGCCATCTCACGCTAACCACAGTGTCAGTGTGTGTGGACTAACGGCTGACGGTAGACACGGCTAGCTCAAACACTCTCACGCACAGACACTGGTGCAGTATGGGAGCCAGACGCGGAGCAGATTGAAGGAATTCCCCTCAGACTGCTTCTATCTGATTGGATCATGTTTCCTGACTATGTGAGTAGAATGTCTGGAAGTTAGGGTCTCTAGTGTGTAAAGGTGTGTGTGGTGGTTAGTGTGTGTGTGTGTCTGTTTGATGAAGATGACTGTAGATAGTTGATTGTAGTCTCAGATTCACTTTGTTGGGTCCAACTATTCTGCTGACCAACAGTAGAATGTGGAGGTATTGTAGTGTAGTGAAACCCGTTTGGGTTTTTAGTTATATAACCACAGAAGGTTTCTA